AGAAAAATAGCATAATATTGATAGGGATTAAAGAAAAAGAAGGGGACAACATAAAAGGATGTCAAGAGGATATTTAGAGAAGTAATAGTTGAAAATTTCCCAAGCATGAGATTAGACACCGACATCAGGTCAGTGAAGCATATAGAACTCCAAATAGCCATAACCAAAATAAAACTACACCCAGACATATAATAATCACCATCCTAGAAATCCAACACAAGCATAGATTATTAAAAGCTGTCAGAGAGAAAAGACAGGTAACTTATAAAGGAAAACCTATCAGAATCACAGGAGACTTCTCAGCACAAACAATAAAGTCAAGAAGAACATGGAGTGAAGTATTTCAGATGCTAAAGCAAAAAGATTTCCAACTTAGACTGATGTACCCTACAAAACTATCATTCAAAATTGATAGTGAAATACGATACTTCCATGACAAAGAACAGCTGAAGAACTTCATGAACACCAAACCAACCCTGCAAAAAATATTGAAAGACAGTTTAGATACACAAAGGAAAAAACCACTAAGCAAAGCAGATAATTAAACAGAACAGAAAGATAAAGATGCACCAGCAGAGAGATAACATGTCAACAATAAACCAGCATTTAACAGTTATAACCATTAATGTAAATGGTCTCAATGCACCAATCTAAAGAAACAGACTAGCAGAATGGATCAAGAAACAAAATACAACCATATGCTGTTTGCAGGAATCCCATCTAACCCAGAAGGATACTCACAGACTGAAAGTCAAAGAATGGAAAACAATACTTCATGCAGCAGGAATCCAAAAAACAGCAGGAGTAGCCATTCTGTTTGCAGACAATGTGAACTTTAAACCAACAATGACCATAAAGGACAAAGAAGGTCACTACATACTCGTTAGGGGAAAACTCCAAGAGGAAGAGGTAACTATCTTAAATATATATGCATCAAACTCCAGAGCACCCAGTTATATAAAACAACTATTAACACAAATGAAAACTCAAATTATCAGTAACACAATTGTAACAGGAGACCTTAACACACCATTGACACCAAGGGACAGATCAACCAGACACAAAATGAACAAAGAAATAACAGAAATGAATCACACCTGCGAACAAATGGATTTGATAGACATATATGGAATGTTCCACCCAACAACATCAGAGTACACATTCTTCTCAGCAGTACATGGATCATTCTCTAAAATAGATCATATATTAGCTCACAGAACATATTTAAACAAATGAAGAGTTGAAGTCATTCCTTGCATGTTATCGGATCATAGCAATATGGAATTAGAAATTAATGATAAAAGATACTGCAAAAATCCCACAAACACATGGAAACTGAATAACACACTCTTGAGTAATCAGTGGGTCACAGAAGAAATTAAAGAAGCAATTAAACAATACCTACAAGAAAATGAAAATGCAGATACAACTTACTGGAATCTGTGGGATGCAATGAAAGCCGTCCTCAGAGGAAAATTTATTTCACTGAGTTCCCACATCAGGAAAACAGAACGAATACAAATAAATAACCTGATTCTACACCTCTAACATCTAGAAAAAGAAGAGCAAGTCAAGCCCAAAGCCGAAAGAAGGGAGGAAATTATAAAAATCAGAGCAGAAATCAATGCAATAGAGACTAAGAAAACAATCCACACAATCAACGAATCAAAGAATTGGTTCTTTGAAAGAATAAATAAAATCGATAAGTCCCTAGCCAACCTTATTTTAAAAGGGGGGGAAGAAAAGCTCAAATTCATGCAATAAGAAATCAAAAAGGTGAAATCACTACAGACTCTACAGAAATACAGAAGTTCATCAACACCTATTTGAAAAACCTCTACTCACAAAGATTTGATAACACAGAAGAAATTGACAGATTGTTAGAAACATATGAAATACCAAAGCTAGATCAAGAGGATGTAAAACTGCTGAATAACCCAATCTCTTGTTAATGAAATTGAAAATGTAATTAAGTCCTTACCTACAAAGAAGAGCCCAGGCCCAGATGGATTCACTTCAGAATTCTACAAGAAATACAAAGAAGACCTAATGCTAACACTCCTCAAACTATTCAGTGAAATTGAAAGGGAAGCAATCCTTCCTAAGTCATTCCTGGAAGCAAATATTACTCTAGTACCAAAACCTGAGAAAGACCCAACTAAAAAAGAGAACTATAGCCCGATCTCCCTAATGAACACAGATGCAAAAATCCTCAATAATATATTAGCAAATAGGATGCAGCAAATCATCGAGAAGATTATACACCATGACCAAGTGGGATTCATCCCAGGAATGCAGGGATGGTTCAACATATGTAAATCAATAAATGTAATCCACCATATCAATAAAGCCAAAAGTAAGAATCACATGATCATTTCTATTGATGCAGAAAGAGCCTTCAGTAAGGTCCAACACTCATTCATGGTAAGAACTTTATAGAAAATTGGAATAGATGGTCTTTACCTCAATATAATAAAGGCCATTTATGACAAACCAACAGCCAGCATCATACTAAATGGCCAAAAATTGAAAGCCTTTACTTTAAAATCAGGCACAAGACAATGATGTCCTTTATCACCACTCCTATTTAATATAGTACTGGAAGTACTAGCCAGAGCAATTAGACAGGAGAGAAATAAAAGGGGTATAGATAGGAAAAGAAGAAGTTAAATTATCGTTTTTGCAGATGACATGATATTTTACACAGAAGATTCTCTAAACTGCATTGAAAGACTCTCAGATATAATAAATAAATTCAGAAATGTAACTGGATACAAAATCAATACTCAGAAATCAATAGCATTCCTATACACTAACAACAAAATCACAGATAGGGAAATAAAAGAAACCACACTCTTCACACTAGCAAGCAAAAAAATGAAATATTTAGGAATTACTCTTATGAAAGAAGTGAAAGACCTATGCAGGAAAAATTGTAATACACTGAAAAAAGAAATTGAAGATGATTTCAGAAAATGGAAAGACATCACTTACTCATGGATAGGAAGAACAAACATTGTGAAAATGGCCATTCTCCCAAAACTGTTATACAGATTCAATGCAATCCCAATAAAAGTACCATCAACATACCTTATAAATCTAGATAAATCACTCCTAAAATTCATCTGGAACCATAAGAGACCTAGAATAGCAAAGGCAATTCTAAGCAGCAAAGTCAAGGCAGGAGGCATCATAAGCCCTGACTTCAAGTTATACTACAAAGCAACAGTAGTAATATCAAGATGGTATGGGAATCAAAACAGAGATGAAGATCAATGGAATAGATTAGAAGATACAACCACAACTACAAACACACTCAACTACCTAATCTTTGATAAAGGGAGCCAAGCGGGTTCACTGGAACAACGACAGTCTCATTAATAAATGGTGCTGGAAAAATTGGCTCTCCATTTGCTGAAAACTAAAGCTAGACTCATGCCTATCGCCATGTATTAAATTAAAATCTAAATGGGTCAAAGATCTGAATATTAAAACAGAAACACTACATCTATTGGAAGACTAATTGGGTAGAAACCTTGAAGACATAGGGGCAGGTAGAGAAATCATGAACAGGATACAAACCGCATGGGAAATACTTCCCAGAATCAATAACTGGGACCACTTCTTATTAAAAAGTTTCTGCATGTCAAAAGAAATCTCCAGGGGCTGGGGATTTAGCTCAGAGGCATAAGCGCCTGCCTTGCAAGCAGGTGGTCGTGAGTTTGATCCCTGGTACCAATAAAAACTGAAAAGAAAAAAAATCTCCAGCATAGTGAAAAGAAAACCCACAAACTGGGAAAAGAGATTTGCCCTCTCAGACAATGGACTCTTGTTTAAAACGTATAAAGAATTAAAAAAAATCAGACTCCAAAATTCAAAGATCCAGTCCCAAAATGGGCATCTGAGATGAATATGCACTTCTCAGATGAAGAAATACAAATAGCAAATAAATACATGAAAAAATCATTGGTCATTAGAGAAGTGCAAATTAAAACCACGCTGAGATTCCATCTCACTCCTGAAAGAATGGCCAGGATCAAGAAAACCAATAACAACAAATGCTGGAGAGGCTGTGGGGAAAAAGGAACTCTCCTACACTGTTGGTGGGAGTGTAGACTAGTACAACCTTTGTGAAGGTCAGTCTGGAGATTTCTCAAAAAGCTGGGACTGGAAGTCCCATTTTTTTCCAGCTATTCCACTTCTAGGCATATTCCTAGAAGAACTGAAAGCATCATACCACAGTGATATATGTTAACCTATGTTTATAGCAGCACAATTTGTAATCACCAGATCTTGGAAACAATCCAAGTGTCCATCAACTGAGGAATGGATTAAAAAGGCATGGTATATCTATACAATGGAGTATTACTCAGCTATAAAGAAGGATCACATTGAGATATTTATCAATAAATGGGCGCAGCTTGTGACCATATTCATAAGTGAAATAAATTAATCTTGCATGTGTGAATACTGAATAGTTTCCCTAATGTAAGTAATGATTCAAATATATAAATGTATGTGGTAATCATGATTCCCCATTATGTGGCCTTGATGCCTTATAACGTTTTCACTTATTAATTGGAATGGCTTTATTCTGGGCTTCTTGATATGGAAATATTTGAAGCTATAGTATATGAAGTTATATTCAAATATTTCAAGGGAAAAGACAGACACTATTGTAACTACTATTAAGTCGGGGTATTTGGTGGTGAAGCACTAAGTTGCTGAAACAGTTATGCTTTGACCTGTGTAGGGTGTGGCATATCTCATTGCTGCCACCTTATCTCGCCCTCCTGTGGCCCTCTGTTACATCTGCCTACATTTCCCATGATCCTCATATCTGCCTACATTACCCATAATTCTCCCCTGCTTATGTCATATATCCGGATGTGACAATGACCTATCAGATAACACTCCATGCCCTCTTCTTACACCATTGGCCCACCTCCACCCTATATAAGTTGTAGCCATTTTCAGAATAAATGAGACTTGAATGGAATCCTGCCTTGTCTTCATCTCTATTTTCTCTTGCCCAGCCTTCCATCCCCATCCCCTCTCCAGGCAAGGACCATGGCCTTGATCCATGGGCCAGATCAAGTGGCACCCACGTGGGGCTTGACTTGGCATGAGGGATAACAACATGGGACCGTTCACGGGAGTAAAGCACTGGCCAGCGTGACTGATTCAAGGTCTTCGTCCCTGTGATCCGTGCAGACGGCCACCTTACGTCTCGCCTGAATCACGGTAGGTGAATGGATCTTATCTCTCTACTGGCAGGGGCAAGCACTTAGTGAACACGAATTTTCATCAGTGGCCTCAGGGAGGCACTCAAGATTAGAGGGATCAAGGTTAATACTAAAGACTTCCTACAGTACTTTCAGTTTATACATTCAGTGTGTCCATGGTTCCTTATAGAGGGCACCATCAATTCAAATAGGTGGAAAAGAGTGGGAGATGCTCTCAAAGACTACTATGGGGTTTTTGGCCTGGAAAAGTTTCTGGTAACTGTTTTTTCATATTGGACTTTAATCTCTGAGCTGCTGACACATCACGCAGATCCCCAGTTTGTAGAGACACTTGCTCAGGATGTGGCTGCATTATCTGCCTCCTGCAGTTTTTGGCCCCCTTCCCAAGGACACTTGTGGGTTAGTTCTTGGATGTGGCAGCACAATATTGAAAGGGTGACAAGTTGTTCCAGGAGTCATAGTTAACGACTGTACTGGTGAAATTGTTGTCATGGCATCCTCTATCTCTGGCCTGGTTTCCATTAGTCAAGGGCAACGTATTGCTCAATTGGTGCTATTGCCTTTACTCCAAACTACTAACACAGCTGTAGCTTCCTAACTGTTGCAACCATAAGCCATGCCTCCCCAGCTGCAAACCTATTCAGGCAATTACAGGACATGATGCAGCTTTGCAGTCATAAGTTTTTCATTGGCCACTTGCGAGCTCATTCTGGCCTCCCGGGTCCCCTTGCTCAGGGAAATCATTTGGCTAATATTGCCACATGTACACAGGTATTCATGATCCATTCTGAGCCCACAAAAGACTCTAAGGTATCTGAGGCTCAACGGACTCATCAGTTACACCACCTCAATGCTCAAACCCTTTGCCTCCTCCACAACATTACTCAGAAACAAGCCAGACAAATTGTAAAAAATTGCCCCTCTTGTGCTGTTCATTTGCCTGTTCAACACCTGGGAGCCAACCCAAGAGGTTTAATCCCCAATGCCTTGTGGCAGATGGATGTCACTCATTTTAATGAATTTGGCAACTTAAAATATATACATGTAATTGTTGATACATACAGCAGTTTCATCTTTGCCACACTCCAGACTGGAGAGGCTACTACACATATTATAGCCCATATGCTATCAGCTCTCTCGGTTCTGGGATGTCCCCAACAGCTTAAGACTGACAATGGCCCAGGCTATACTAGTACCTCCTTTGTCAAATTTTGTAAGTGCCTTAATATTCTCCACCCCACGGGTATACCTTACAATCCTCAAGGACAAGGTATTTTTGAACATGCACATCGCTCCCTCAAATCCACTATAGATAAAATAAAAGGAGAAACCTGGTACCCAACCTCAGGGTCTCCTAGCAATATTCTCTCACATGCTCTTTTTATTTTGAATTTTCTATCCCTGGATGCCTCAGGCTGCTCAGCAGCATCTCGTTTCTGGCACACACAGACAGCAACACAATTTGCATCTGTGCTATGGAGAGATCCCCTAACCAACACATGGAATGGCCCTGACCAGGTCCTCATCTGGGGACAAGGCTCTGTATGCATTTACTCCAAACAGGAAAAAGGAGCTAGATGGCTCCCCAAACAGCTTATAAAACAAGAAGACAGCTCTTCATCGAGGACCCTATGTGACGCCCAGGAATAACATCCTTTCCTGAGGCACAATCCCCTGTGTTCTCTTACAGATGGTGCAACCTCTCAAAACCTTATGGACCATCGTTGGACTTTTGACACAACTACATCTAATGGATAGCAACCTCCATCAACCCTGGAAATGGGAGCTTAGCCACTGGAATGACCAAGAGATGGTTTGGACTTGGGTAGGATCAGGAAGTGCATGGTTTGTGCCCACACCCCATTGGTTCTTTCCGGGGCTCCAAAGTCCCAGAAAAAGTCAATTCTACCTTTGTCCCACAGCAACAGGGGGCAGATCATATTGTAATTCCCCGGGAGAACATTTTTGTACTTGTTGGGGATGCAAAACAGTTGCAGCAGGATGGCAACCCGCCTTCCCCAATAAACACCTTTAACTGACATGGGGGCCGCTGGGGTGCAGCCTAGATGACTACCCACCAGCCAATCAAAGACCCTGTCAGATTCTAAATGTCACTGTCACCACTCCTGAGGACCCTGGCTGGCTGACATGATGCACCTGGGGACTTCGAGTCTGTGAGTCAGGCAAAGATAGGGGAAATCTTATTCTCATAAAAAAGGTTCCCCTATAGGTTTCATCCACGCCCATAGGCTCAAATCTTGCTCTAAAGCCAAAATACAATCCAAATCCAAAATACAATCAGTCTAATACAGATCCTGTTACTGCTGTTCAAACAACCACAGTAAGTCACCCAACCATAAGCGTTTCTCAAGCCCCCGCACACCTGGCAGATCATATATCTGCCCCTCAATATTCACATTCTAACCTATTCAGTTTGATTAAAGGGGAATACATGGCTTTAAATCATACCCAACCTGATCTCACCCAATCCTGTTGGTTATGCTTGGCCGCTCCTCCCCCATATTATGAAGGAAAGGCCCTTAATTTAACCTTTAACAGTTCTTCTATCTCATCTTCCTGTGACTGGGCAATCACCACAAGCTGACTCTCCCTGATATCTCAGGTAGAGGGACCTGTCTTGGGGACTCCAGCCGTCCATCAGCACTGGCAGCAAAACTCTGTGCCCAGCTTCATTCAGAGTTCAAGCCAAATAATTACCTCATTTCACCCCCAGGAACATCTTGGGCCTGCAATTTCTGCCTCTCACCCTGAATAGCAACCACTGTTTTTAACAAGTCTGCCGATTTTTGTGTTCTTGTACAGGTTCTTCCTCGCATAACATTCCACCTAGGAGACTACTACCTCCAGGCATCACAGATTGGCTATATGTACAAGAGAGAACCTGTGACACTCACCTTAGCTGTATTACTAGGGTTAGGAGTCGCAACAGGAATAGAAACAGGGACTACAGCACTAGTGTTGGGAAAATAGCATCTAGCTCTATTACAGGCAGCAGTAGATCAGGATTTAAAAGAAATAGAAACATCTGTGGTGGCTTGACAGGCATCTCTGACATCTTTATCTGAGGTAGTCCTACAAAATAAAAGAGGACTAGACCTCCTATTTATGAAGGAGGGTGGCTTATGTGCTGCTCTCAAAGAAGAATGCTGTTTTTATGCTGACCACTCAGGAGTCATCAGAGAGTCCATGACTAAACTAAGAAAGCACCTCAAAGAGAGAGAAAAGGAGCACCTCAGAGAAATGACCTTCTCTTCCATGCGGGAGTGTCTCTTCCCTTACATTGCTCCCCTCTTGGGACCTCTGGCTGCTTTATTGCTACTCCTTACTATAGGCCCTTGTATTTTCCAGAGGATCGTGACACTCCTTAATAACAGGATTGACGCCTTTATGGCAAAGCCCATTCAGGTACATTACCATCAATTGGAGATGGCAGAACAACAAACTTATTGGGAGAGAACCTCCACCACTGGTCCACATAATGATGTGGCCCCAATGCCCTGAGGCACTGGACAGGCAGCCAGAGATGGGCAACTAAGACACATATGTTATGCCATCAACCACCTAAGACAGGCACAGGACCAACTGCTGTCCTGCAGGCCCACGACGGGTAAGGCTCGATTGGGTACATATGAAGAGTCCTTGACCCAAGACAGGTGCTGAGTCCTTGACCCAAGACAGGGACTGCCATACTCCTAAAAAATATAATAAAAATGGAGGAGATGTAGGGAGCAGCATATCTCATTGCTGCCACCTTATCTCGCCCTCCTGTGGGCCTCTGCCGCATCCGCTTACATTTCCCATGATCCTCATGTCTGCTTACATTACCCATAATCCTCTCCTGCTTATATCATATATCCAGATGTGACGATGACCTGTCAGATAACACTCCATGCCCTCTTCCTGCCCCATTGGCCCGCCTCCACCCTATATAAGTTGTAGCCATTTTAAGAATAAATGAGACTTGAATGGAATCCCACCTTGTCTCCATCTCTCTTTTCCCTTGCCCAGCCCCCCATCCCTGTCCCCGCTCCAGGCGAGGACCACGGCCTTGATCCGTGGGCCGGATCAGATCTGTATTGTTATGTTGTTATGTTCTCTTTTATCTCAATCTCTCCCTTAGTTATTAAAAAAATTATTTAGTTATTTTTATGGTTTTTTTAATTAAGGGGAAAAATTTTAAAAATTCACAAGATATATTTTAGCAACTTTTTTGATTTCCTATTAACTAGATTTGAAGTCCTGTAATACTCCCACGATCTTGTTTTGATTGATTAGACTCTGTTCTGTTTTGTATGATAGTATCAAGTTTGAGGGAATAGGCAACTACTTTGAAGGCAATAAGATTCACTAAGATGCCCATTATGGTTTGACTATTGTCTCCTTTGGAAGTCCTGTAATGTTTATAATGTTTAAGTTTTATTGGTCTTGTTCTCTACTGTTTTGTTCAACTTTATAATACCCAATGAGATAGACAATTCTTTCTAAGGAAGCAAGAGGCATTATGGTAACCATTGTTGATAATCTTGTACTCTGTTTTTTACATCATGTACTATGTCTATCCTTGGTTTTGACTGACAGTTTTGTTTTGCCATATTTGACTTTATTCTCCTCAGAAAAAGTAATAAGAACTAAGGAGTAATAAAACCCAAAATGTGTAAATTTTTTTGTAAAAAAGAGAGGGGAAAAAGTGCTCTAAAGGATGAAACTGCAAGTGTGTTTAGGGATGTTAAATATTAATGTTTTTGGTTGGATCATTGAAGACAACTGTTTGCAGTCTCACTGTTTGAATGTCCACTTTGTATTCTTTGATACTGTGACTTGAGCAACTATCTCTAAGATGATAATGTGTAATCTATTAACTGGTGATTTCTTATTTTTTTTGTAGTTCTGTATTACTTGTACCCTTACACCATTTTGTTTTGTTTTGTTTTTTCTCTTTTTCCTTTTAAATAAAATTTTAAAAAATAAAAAAATAATTACACAGAGAACTTCAATGCCTTTTCCCTTCTTAGAAGAAATCCTTGATTTCCATAATTTCATAGATCACAAAACTGAGGCTGAGAGAAACAAATGTACCATATCATTGTCCACCAATCATTATGTCTTAGTGAGTATTTCTTATGCCTAAAACAGTTTCATGCTTTGTATTTTTTTTACTAGAACTAATGTTCTAGTTCTATTTTGAACCATCCAAGCACTTACTATCACTTCACTTCTTACATTTTTCTTCAAGAATTCTGAGGTAAATATCCCTCCTGCAGTTCTGCAACCTAAGGAAATAACAGAACTCTGCAAAAGCCCCAAACTTCCTCTGACACCTGCTCCTTCTACTCTACATCCACTGCTCAGTGAAGGAGCCACATCTCAGTGAGAAAAACATCCTGTGTTCCTCACAGGCAGTAAGATATGTCCCTCAGGAGGGACACATACTGAGGGTAGTAAAGGATCTTTCTCTTCTAGGTACATAAAATCAGCACAGTCTCCCCCCACAGAAAATTTTTGGGGAGTCTATTGTGGTTTTAATGCCTGTTGCTGGACCACAGAAAAATCACAACGTTTTGGGAAAGCGCTGGAGCAGTTCTCTTCTCTGGGCAAGCTAGTGAAATTGCAGAGAATAGAGCTGTGGTGAAGCTATGAGTATCATACCTTGCCTCCCTGACCCATTCACATATCAGGGCTCCCTCTCAACTGCAGTGTCCTAGTGTTTAATGATGCAACAGAACTCTCCTACAGTCTTGGTTCAAAGAGGAAGTGCTATGAATAAGAGATAGCATCTGTCATGACTCCATTCCATTCATCAGTCTTCCTCCTTTCTCATGCAGCATAAGTTGGAACAATGGTGTCACACAGAGGAACAAGTGCCCAACCAGCAGTTTGAAGACTGAGTAAGCCTAAGACACGTGCTGAATGTTTTTACCTCGGCATAGGAGGCACCATGTTGGAACTCCTGTGTCTTTCTTTTCCAGGGAAAATGGGATGAAGCCATAACCCTGCCTATGTCCGGGGATTGTGAGGACAAATGATGGCTGACATATCTTGGAAAGAAAGTTAGCAGCATCCACATAAATTACAATACTTTTATCCTCTGATCCAGCCACCTATTCTAATGAAATCTTCCTCCTGTATGGGATGGTAGAAGTACAGGTTTGTCTTTTGTAGCACTGTTATAGTAGGCCATAACTGTAATCAACTTAAACATCCACCTACAGATGATAGAAATGTTTTATGAGATTTCCTTTTGAAGAAGCAACTTTCAGCTGTTAAAACAGTGGAGCAGCACTGTATGGTTTTGTATAGAATCCTAATGTGAAATTATGATGTGGCTGACATGTGTGAGTTTTTCCAACCACAAACAGCCTCTAGGTATGAATGTCAGGGACATACTGAACTGCTGGGAAATAGATGAAATGCAGAATTCAAGGTCTCTGATTTGTGGTTCTGAGCTTCCAGTGTGCACTTCCAGATACTTTCATGGACACAGCATCTATGCTGAGGTTGCTTTTAGCATAGCTGGACTCAGTGGGGGGTTCTGATTCTCACCTTGGTACTAATTGAATATTTGTCATCTTCAGTCTCATATTTGTAAGCAGATCATGCTGGGTTGTCTGCAGGTCACTATTCCCAGAATTAGACATTAGAAGGAAGATGTTGGTCATGCGCTGGAAACACAAAGTAAATATTTTGCCTGTCTCAGTGAGGATTTATGTCTCTTACATGTGATATCCTTTCCTGAAAAGTACATCATAGTATTCTCAGGTTTCTCATTACTTGTGAGGTGCTGTTGCTCATACATAAGTTTTGGCAGATAGGCCTAAGGAAAGGTTCAACATCATGGAATTTCTCCAGCCCTGGCATTGAAATAAAAAAGATTCTCTGACTGTGAGGAATGTTCTCAGGGTTTTCTTTAGAGGAAATGAAAGTAAGTGCATCCTCCCACCTCTGCAGTGGAACACCAACTTGGTTGGAGATGAGTTCAGCCTGGGAAGCTCCCTTCTGTTTCCCTGGCCTGCAGAATGCATCCTGGGACACAGTAAGCACTGATTGCTGTGCCATAAGAAAACACTCACACTCGGAGAGGAAGCTCTATCTGGAGCAGCAGGCAAGATCTGGCCCTTTACTGGGCCGTTCCTCTTCTGTGGAGACAAAGGTAAGTGTAGAGTGGAAAAAGTAGAATATTGAGCAGTAGTTAGACAATGGCTGCAGATGCTCCCTATTTACTTGGTATGGAGCCTTGAGCCAATAACACTACTAACCTTGGCTGCCCTTGTAGGTGGGTGGCATTAAATCATGAACATGAGCATCCACCATTCCACCTGCTTCTTCATTGGTGCTTATAATATGCAGGGTGTGTTTCCTGACCAACTGTCATACATCAAAAAATGAGGGAAACCCAAATTGTACTCATGATCCTCAAATATCTTGGTGCCTCCTCTAGACTGAATCTCCTTGATCTCAGAGCCACCTGTTTTCTGGACTTTGTCACAGTAGTAGGTGCCTGCATCTGCAAGGGTGACATTACTGATGTGGATTGAAAAGTCCACATTGTTTCTCTTTGTGGTATCTGACACATTTGTAACTCAGGTAAAGTGGCCTCTTTTGAAATCATAAATTAACTCCCGGCCTTGCCCTTGTCCCCTGTTCCACAAGATGACTCCCATAGTTAAGAGGGAGGCTGCAGCGCAGTTCAGAGTGGCTGTCTCTCCTGCAGTGAAGAATATTAAGTTCTCAGGCTGAATCACCTGTAATATCTCTTCTGTGGCTATTGGGATGGAAACTCAGAGTAGTTATTATTCTTCCTGATGATTTCTGTGTGTTTTCCAAAGTTAGTCAGTATAAAATTTCAGTGACTGACTATACACTATGAGTGCATACTGGAGCTCAGCACATTGTGTTTGTAATCACATTTTGCTCTCACACGAACTTCCCTTTATGAAGAAACTGAAGCTCAAAGTGGTTAAGAAACATGATAGAGTGTGAATTTGAATGCCACCAGATTCCTTGCAATTTCATGTCAATATCATGCTTTACCAAGTATTTGTTACACTTCACATTCTGATCACATAGTGCAGTGGATATGGCATAAGGCCAGTCATAAGATTCCTTTAGAGCACTGAGATCCAGGTAGAGGTGGGGGTATTATCAATGGAACATGCATTCAACTATATGAAGTGATGGATCAGTTTCCCTTTTACACAGAGATAAATGCTCAGGATGAGGTTTTTTTTTTTTCTGTCAGCCTATGAAATAGTAGTACATAAACTTCCAATGTGCCACAACATGTAACTTAATAAGAAGTGATGCATTGCTTTAATCCTCTATAACCTTTTCATCACATTATACTGATAGTTAAACCTCATTGTACTGAATTTGTCAGCTATGCTACTGTAATAAATTACTAAAAATTTCTTTCCTTAAATTAATGAGGAAATTGTTGCTTCGTGAATCTGGACATGCAAAGTCCCAGTGTAGTGTCACTCAGTAATGCTCACTTATTAAAATAGAAGAGTATTGAAAGACCTAGAAACAATATTTATGAGATTTATTTAGAATCAGCAAAGATGCAAACCAGCCAAAGAAAGCCAGAACAAAATGAGCAATGCTGGCAACATCATGATACCAAGCTTTAAGCTATGCTCTCCAACTATAGTAGAAAATCAGCATGGTTCCCTGACCAGGAATGGCAGGTGAGTGACTCCTCGGATATTCCCAGTTTAAGTCCCCTGCCAATTCACAGACTGGACTGCATCCTGGATTAATTCCTCACTTTTCATCATCAAGGAGCTGCACATCTTGTCACTGCTGGTTTGCAAACAACACTGGTCCCCATTTACCGCACATGAGCCAAGTCCAAAAATTACTCCATGGTAGTGGGCTGGGCCCCACTATATATTTTCTTTCTGTTCCCTGGACTGGGGTAGTGCTCTCACACTTCTTGGGCAGCCCTGAGGCAGAGGCACTACTGTAATCCACA